GTTAATGAGGGGAGTTAATGAGGCAGCGTTAATGCTGGGTGCTAATGAGGGGTGTTAATGAGGGGTGCTAGAGACCTTAATGAGGGGGCGTTAATGAGGAGCATTAGTGAGGGGCATTAATGACGGGCGTTAATGAGGGGCCTTATTGAAGGGCGTTAACGAGGGGGCGTTAATGTGGGGGTCTTAATGAAGAGCATTAGTGAGAGGCATTAATTAGGGGCGTTAATGAGGAGCGTTAATAAAGGGTCGTTAATGAAGGATGTTAATAATGGGCGTTAATGAGGGGAGTTAATGAAGGGCGTTAATGAGGGGAGTTAATGAGAGGTGTTAATGAGGGGGCGTTAATGAGGGGTCTTAATGAGGAGCATTAGTGAGGGGCATTAATGACGGGCGTTAATGAGGAGCGTTAATAAGGGGTCGTTAATGAGGGGTGTTAATGAGGAGCATTAGTGAGGGGCATTAATGACGGGCGTTAATGAGGAGCGTTAATAAGGGGTCGTTAATGAGGGACGTTAATGAGGAGTGTTAATGATGGGCGTTAATGAGGGGCGTTAATGAGGGGGCGTTAATAAGGGGTCGTTAATGAGGAGGAGTTAATGAGGGGCGTTAATATGGGCGTTAATGAGGCAGCGTTAATGAGGGGCGTTAATTACGGGTGTTAAGGAGAAGGCCTTAATGAGGGGCTTAAATGAGGGATGTTAGAGGCGTTAAGAGGAGTGTTAATGAGAAGCATTAATGAGGGGTGTTAATGAGGGGCGTTAATGAGCTGTGTAAATGAGGGCTGTTAAGGAGAGGGCGTTAATTAAAGGTATTAATGAGAGGCATTAATGACGAGGTGTTAATGAGGGGTGTTAATGATGGGCCTTCATGAGGGGGCATTAAAGAGAGGCGTTAATGGGGGGGCATTAATGATGGGTGTTAATGAGGGAGGGTGCTAATGAAGGGTGTTAATGAAGGTAGGTGAACTTTAGAGAGGAGTCTTAATAAGGGGGAGCACTAATGGAAATGTTAATGAAGAAGCATTAATGAGAAATGTTAATGAGCTGGGGCTTATGATGTGAGGCTCCTTAAGCCAATTAACAGGCAGGTCCATCCCAGCTAATGACTAATTAAGAGCAGCAGGAGCCCTGCTAATCACTGTCATCAGCCATATATTTACATATGCTAATGAGCTGCGGTAATTAAACAGGAGCTTGTTAACTGTGCAGGGATAGGAAGGAAGAGTGGATTAATTGACAGACACAGAGCAGAGATCAGGGTTTATTGGGGGTCCCATTAATTTAATTAAGGGGGTTCATTAATGAGCCCTTGTGCAAGGCACGAGGCTGGGCGTGCAAGCCACGCCCCTTCCCTGTCAATCACGGGTGTCCCGCCCCTTCCGCACAACCCCCGCCCACCGACTGTCAATCACTTTAGACCACGCCTCCTTCCCCGAGGCCCCGCCCCTCGGCGCGTTCGAGTTTAAGGGGCGGGGCGATCTCTGGACAGAGCGCGGCCCTGACCAATGGGGAGCGGCGGTGGGTGGGTCTCGGGGCGGTGCCGGCCAATGGGACGGCTGTGGGTCGGGCGGCGTAGCCAATGAGCGGCGGGAGCAGGGGGTGGGCGGGGCCCGCGGGAACTCCGGGCCCGTGATGGGAAAGGCGGCGGGAGCAGGAGGGAGAGGTGAGGGGGGATCGGGGCACCGAAGGGCAGGCAGCGGGGCTGGAGACGGCGAGCGGGACACCGGGGGACCCGCAGAGCGGGGGTCCGCAGGAAATACGAGGGGCGGGGGGAGGCCGGGTGCCGGGGGAGGGACCGAGGGGATGGTGGGTCCCGGAGCGAACCGGGCCCGGGGGGCGCCGGGACCGCGGGGGGAAGGGGGGGGGGGGGGGCAGGGTCGGGGATCCCCTCCCCCCCGGGGTGTCACCCCCTCCCCAAGGGGCGGGGCCATGGCGCAGTGACGGGGCGGGGCTTGCGGGGGGCGTGGCCTGAGGGTGTAATATGAATAAGGGGCGTGGCCTCGGGAGGGGCGCGGCGCCGGCGTTGCCATAGCGACAGAAGGCGCGCGGGG